CATGCTTCTGTTTATTCAACAACTTCCTGGGTCTTCTGAGTATCTATTGATTTCAATGTCCACTGCTAAGACAATAATAGGCCATGGGTAATCTACTGAGGATAAGATCATCTTATAAATGTCTTATTTAAGGTCTATTTGGTCTTTAGTTGTTCCTTCTTTTCTAGTGGAATACATATTGCTATTTGCTTAAAATTCCTATTGGAGTAGATAACATATAAAAGATGTCTCATGCCTTGTAGTTAGCTATACTTATATTAACCGAATCATTGATCTTTCTCTAGAGATTGAGACTAGTATCCGAAATCTGAATGACCATAAAAATAAAGTATCTTCTGCAACATACCTAGTGAGAAAATTTTAATGAAGAGTTTTTGTCCTCTAATTCCCTAGTGGCTTAAAGCAAATATGACTATAATTCCCAAATGTCTCCACCAACTGAGAAGACAAATATCAACCTTGAAACAGATTAGATCAATATGATGTACTAAGATTAATATGATTTAACCAATTAAATGAGCTTTATAGATAGAAATACATTAGGGGACCAAGTATATCCCAGTTAAATTTAAAGCTAAAGGCAGCCTGCACCCACACGCCGGGCACGCGGGACAACTTTGAGGGGCCATCTCAGCTCCAGAGCTCCCTAAAACATCAGTTGGTCTCTGTTTCAACTGCAGCACAGTGCAGGCTCTTGCTCTGTCCAAACCTGCTTTCTTCACTCTCTTGCAGGTATTTCTGAGAGCGCTTTCCAATAAACTTACAACATACACACGTTCCTCTCAGACTAATTTTGCCCAGTGGGCTGTGAGCTTTCTCAATTTGATAGAGCATGGCTCCCAATAGTCAGGTTGTTGTCTTTACTTTTTATTTTTTTTAATTTATTTATTCATGAGAAACAGAGAGAGAGAGAGAGAGACAGGCAGAGGGAGAAGCAGGCACCATGCAGGGAGCCTGATGCGGGACTCGATCCCAGGACTCCAGGGTCATCCTCTGGGCTGAAGGTAGGCACTAAACCACTAAGCCACCCAGGTGTCCCAGGTTGCAGTCTTTAAATACCAGTCAGTTCTCATTCTCATTCAAAGGAGCCAGGATTCCTGAAGTAGTAGATTCTATGTCTGGGCTCAAAATGTACAAGATGAGATCAGGACAGTTTGTCCAAAAGGTAACAAAGGGATTGTCAAAGTTCATGAGGATGAAGTCAAATTAAGCAGAAGATAGAAAAATATAAGCATCAGTAAAGACAATACCTGCTATGAATTAAAACATAAGAAATATGTTTAAATACATGAGCTCATACTAAAAAATACAAATTAGTCTCAAATGGAGGGTGCTAATTATTTTTGAGAAACTCATAAACAGAGGAAAAAAGCATTTGCTCAGCCTTTTCTATAAGAACTATACCACTATGTAAACAAATAACAGACAAGACGATGTTTTTCTTAATAGGGGCAGCTCAGTTATTAAATAAAGACAAGATAGTTTAAAAAAAAGACAAGATAGTTTAATTAGATTATAACATTTTGCAACCTTTAGTGAATTGATGGATCTAGGCATTGAACACAGATTAATGAGAGAAAAAGAGAGAAACCCTGAGATTATGGGCCTTCTGATAGAATACACCACTGCCAATGAAATATTATTTTCAAAAAATTCAAGCAAGTTTACAAGAAATATAGACAATAGAGGAACATGCTAAATTTTACTATGGTACATCAGAAAATTTGTGACTGTGAGAAATTCTACAAAAACAATGAGCCAGGTTTATTAAACAATTTATAGCCAAAAGAAAGATACAAAGAGAGGGAGAGGGATTAAGAGAGAGAGAGAAAGACAGATACAGAGATGGAGAGAAGTTATAAATTAGAAGATACTTTAAAGACATCAATCAATTACCTCCTGTAGGAGGACTTTTTTTTTTAAGATACAAAGAGAGGGAGAGGGATTAAGAGAGAGAGAGAAAGACAGATACAGAGATGGAGAGAAGTTATAAATTAGAAGATACTTTAAAGACATCAATCAATTACCTCCTGTAGGAGGACTTTTTTTTTTAAGATTTTATTTATTGATTTGTGAGAGACACACAGAGAGAGGCAGAGACACAGGCAGAGGGAGAAGCAGGCTCTATGCAGGGAGCCCAATGCGAGACTCGATCCCAGGACCCTGGGATCATGACCTGAACCAAAGGCAGATGCTGAACCACTGAGCCACCCAGGCATCCCTAATCCTGATTCAAACAAAGTGTAACATATATTTATGAAACAATTGGAAATTTTAACAAACTGGATAATTTATATATAAATGCTTTCTGCTAATGTTTTTCGGTGTGACTATACCATGAATATGTGACAGTTTTATTATATAAGTGTTCTTATCTTTTATTGTTACATACTGAAATACTTACAGGGAAAACCATAGGATGTCAGGGATTTTCTTTTAAATGATACAGTGAAGGGAAGGGAGTGGGGATATAGATGAAACAAGACTGGACTTAAGTAATCACAGTTAAAGCCATGAAATAGGGTCATGGGGGATTATTTAGTGTTACTGTCTATTTTCCTACATGTTTGAAATATTTTAAAATTGAAGCCTTTTAAAGTTGAAAAAAATTCTAAAATAAAGAACTGCAAAATGGATTTAAGAAATATCTCCGTTTTGCCTTTAATTCTACTATAAGCAAAACACAAAATGAGTATGATGGCAAAAGGCAACTGTCTCCCGTCCACAGGGGCAGGACAGTGGGGACTGGTGTGGACTGTGGCAGATGGAAGAGAGCACGCTCATTGCAAGAGGAGTGGTCTAGCACAAGGTTTATCCATACTACATATGGCAGCAAGGTTGATAATACCAGATTTCTGATGTGTTCAGAAAAGCTGTAAGTTGACATACGTAGATAAAATTATCTTTAGTGTTAAGTGTTGGCAACTAATGTAAATTTATTTTACATCCCTAACTCTGGGAAACGAACTAGGGGTGGTGGAAGGGGAGGAGGGCCGGGGGTGGGGGTGAATGGGTGACGGGCACTGAGGGGGGCACTTGATGGGATGAGCACTGGGTGTTATTCTGTATGTTGGCAAATTGAACACCAATAAAAAATAAATTTATTATAAAATAAATAAATAATGCTAGTTCATCGTTAAAAAAAATTTATTTTACATCATTCTGTGGGTAAGCGCTATATGGATCAAACAAAACATGACATTTTGCAACCTCTGATTTATAAGGAGCCGTCACAGTACCATATGACTGGCTTCCCCATCACCAAAAGGGAGTCACAAGCTGTAGAACACCAGCACCTAAGTCTCATGGAATATTGCCAGAAACCCATTGTTTGATCTGCCTTCCTTTCAGTCACCCCATTGTGCCATGTCCACTTTCTATTTCTGTGCCCAGTCTCTCCAGATTGCGCCTTTGGCTGGAAGGACTGCTTGACTTTTGACTCCAGACCCCCTCCTGCATACAGGATTAGATCTTCAGAGTCTCAGGATGCAATCCAGCACCACTTTCAGCAAAACTTCCATAAATCCTCATCTCTGTCCAGTATCACAAGCACCCTGCCTGTCCAGAGGCCTGTTTGGTAAGAGGTTAGTTTATAGTTATCCTAAATATTAATTAATGTGACTTTACTAAATTCAAAACATGTTTTCCTCATTCACATTCAAGGCTAGCTTTCTCCTGGCCTTCACTAAACACTGACCCCCCCCCCCACCCGCCCTGCCTTTAGATAGTTCCATGCTATTTGTTTACAATCCATTCAGTTGGAAAATCACTATCTGGCTGAGTATAAACACATCTAATAATTGACCATCAAAATGACCTAGACACTTCCTCTGCGCCTGCATGTATGAATAGTGATGTAATAAGCTCTCAAATATCTTCTCATTAGTACTTATAACTCGTTTGCTGTTCTTGAGACTGGATACAGTCATATAAATGTTGATTTTAGTTAGATTGAATTTGTCTAAATGTTGCTCTTTGTAATAAAACTCAGTGTACAGATGTTAGATGCTTAAAATGTCACTAAGAAAAATAGATAAATTCGTAGTGGTAGAGATATTTACTAACAGGATTTTCTAAAATATAGAACAGTTTGTTTATGCAAAATTTGATAGAACTACTTTCCTACTTCCCTACAAGCTGCTTTTCCACCATTCCCCATTCTTCACCCTTGCCATGTGTAGATCAAACACAAACCCACAATTTTATGTATTGGAGTAGTTGGGGAAAAAAAAGAGAGAGAGACAGACAGACAGACAGAGAGAAAGATAATGAGTTTGATCAACATCTTTAGCGTTTAAAATATTTTAATATCTAAATATATATAAATAAAATGAGTTGGAACATTGTATGTAAAATATCCTCTGCTTATGTTAAGAGGGGATTTAAATTATCTATTCTTGCCTCAATAGTAAAAGAAAATGTTTAAAATTGCTTAAATCATAAATTACTTATTTATTAGTGGTCATTCTTCCCAATCTCCAGAGCCCAGCCGCGAGGCCTTGGTGCTCTCATACTGCCTGATGTTGGAGCAGATATGACAGGTTCCAGCACACCCTAATCAAGAGTCTTAGTGCATGTCTCATTTAGAATTGGTTTTCAGAGGCCATTTTTTTCTCTCCATTAAATGCTTTTTTTTTTTAACACTGTAGAAAGAAATAAATAGGTATTCTCATATAAGAGATTCTTAAAACAACTACAGGACAAGATCAGTGGAAGATCCATTAACAAAAGTTTGGGATGTGTGGAGGGGTACGTGTGTGTGTGTGTGTGTGTGTGTGCGTGCTCTGGTATAATTATTTTGTAGTTGTGTTCTTTGTTTCCCCCTTTTTTTTTTATTCATTCGTTTGGGTTTTTTTTTAATATACATATATATTTTATTGGAGTTCGATTTGCCAACATATGGTATAACACCCAGTGCTCATCCAGTCAAGTGCCCATCACCCAGTCACCCCATCCCCTCGCCCACATCCCCTTCCACTACCCCTTGTTTGTTTCCCGGAGGTAGGAGTCTCTCATGTTTTGTCACCCTCTCTGATTTTTCCCATTCATTTTCTCTCCTTTCCCCTATAATCCCTCCCACTATTTTTTATATTCCCTGTACGAGTGAAACCATACAATGATTGTCCTTCTCCGATTGACTTACTTCACTCAGCATAATACCCTCCAGTTCCAGCCACGTCGAAGCAAATGGTGGGTATTCATCATTTCTAATGGCTGAGTAATATTCCATGGTATACATAGACCACATCTTCTTTATCCATTCATCTTTCGATGGGCACCGAGGCTTCTTCCACAGTTTGGCAGAAATGGGCCCTCAACTCTACAGTCAACTAATATTCGACAAAGGAGGAAAGATTATCCACTGAAAAAAGGACAGTTTCCTGTTTTTCTGAAAAAAAAAATCAGTTTCTCCTTATTTTGTTAGCTAAAGCTAGAAAAGTCTCTACTTAACAAAATCTCCAGAACTGTAGCAATTTAATTGTCCTTACAATTAAGCATTTATTGAATCATACACTCTAATTAGTAAAAAAAAAAAAAAAAAGAGAGACAAAGTCATAATACAAAATAGAATGTGTTAGAAAAGAAAGATTTTAGACCCTATCAGGGAGTTCTAAAAAGATAGAGACTTAGTTATTTTCTATGTATTAAAAAGACTGAAATACCTGTTGATTTATGATGGGAGTAGTTTAGGTAAGCTAATATGCTTCTTTTGGCAGGAGTCTCATACTTTATTATGAAAGCATGATTTATCTCATGCTGATTGAAAGTTATAAATGCCTTTAAGTAATTAATAAAAGGAAAATACATCATTATTACCTACATTTTACAACTTAACCAATTGACAAAACTTTTAGAGACTAGGTTTAGCAGTCAAATTGTTAAGCATTACAGATAAAATCTAAAGGTCTTTTTTTTAATTATTATTTTATAGATGAAAACTATGTTTGAGAGGCTTGGTGACTTATCCAAGATATCACAGATGTTTTTCTTGTAGCCAAACTGATATTAAAACCCAGCTTTTGTAAATCATGCTACAGTAGCACACAAACTCCCTTACATCTCTGGATTATACCAACAAAGGTTTATTTCTCATTCAATTTGGCTGGCTGCTGTTTTACAATCTGTGTTTGCTCATTCTGAGACCAAGGTTGAAAAAGCCTTATTTGGAGCATGCCATCTTTCAGGCAGAGATTAAAAAGAGGTTTTACAGAACTATATAATGCCTCTGAAGGCTTTTGCTCAGATGTGACATATGTCATTTACACTCACATTCTGTTACTATATACTTTGCAACTTACCTGACAAAACCTGACTCAGTGGGTTAGAGGTTTAGTCTTCTTACAAAGAACTTAGCTGAGAAGTGGAAATAATTACATCGTTTACTACAATAGATCCTCAATCCCCAGAACTATATACACTCTCTCTCTCAATAAGCAGTGGGCCTCTCCATTTCTTGGAGTCACGAATGCAGTGTCTCCTGAGGGCTCACCGGCTACCATGTCAGATCTGACTTCTAATTTTTCAGACAGAGATTTTATTGTAACCATTAAGACTGAATACCATTTCCTCTGGAGGCTAAAAAACTAAAATTACCAATAGAAGTAAATTAACTCTCAACTACTGCTTCTCTTCTATAGACTGACTCCTAAGGAAGAAGTTGCTTTTTTTAATGAAGATCCTTCATAGGTTAAAAATTAGTCTTTTTAGATTTCTATGACCTGAGTCGCATTTTTAGTAAATATGTTTTATTAACTCCCTAGCATCCATTGAGTAACAGTCATTCAGTGTGGGAAATTATTCTCAATTTCAAGAGATGGGTCTGCTCCAGTGAGAATAATCCCATCCACTTCCCTTGCCAAGTGACTATTTCAGAATGATCTGATTCCTGCCATTCAGGTACCATTCAGGTATGTGGAGAAGGTCACCAGACACTTCTGGAAAATATCCTTTTTACTCTTAAAAGCAGTATAGTGAAAAACTGCTCTCTCTACCTTTCACAGAATGTGAACATGAAGCACCTGTCCTAATGGCTATTAGTGTCCATCGAAAGCATGACAACTTGAGGACAAATCTGACATCAACAATGCCGAGAGAAAAGCAGAGAAATATTGCTAGAACCCTAATTAAACTATGCCTAAATCCTATCTCTGGATTTTTAGTTATGTGAGCCAATAAAATCATTTATTGGTTAGTCAGATTAAATTGATATTCACATACTTCAACCAAAAGTATCCTAAGAAGGCATCAGTTCTTCTCTCCTTCTTTATTTTACCCACACCCCACCAATAACCAAAGCTGCAAGATTAGTTTTGGTAGGAGTTACAAGCAAATATCTATCTCTCCTCTTGAGTTCTACAATGAAAACCGTTCTCTTTTTTATTTTGTTAAAAATATCTTCTCAAATATAAGTATAGCTAACTACAAGGCATGAGACATCTTTTATATGTTATCTACTCCAATAGGAATTTTAAGCAAATAGCAATATGTATTCTACTAGAAAAGAAGGAACAACTAAAGACCAAACAGACCTTAAATAAGACATTTATAAAATGATCGGTTATTTCTAAGCTTAGAAATTCCAACTTTGCCTGAAGACTACTGGTCTTAAAACAATAGAGAAAAGGGTATCATTAATACAATGTCAGTATTTGTCTTTCTACTTTTATTTCCAAGGTGTACTGAATGTTAATTAGCATTAAGAAGTATATTATCATAAAAAAATAAGTATATTATCATAGCAGAGGTTTAAAAGAGAAAAACCAAGAAAATGCTGAGAAAACGGCCACAAATCTGGCAAAATATTTAAGGTTTGAAAAAAAGGTGTTTTTTTTTTTTGGTTTTGTTTCTGGTATGCACTATTATGTATGCAACTGTGGAAGAGTAAAGATGAGTAGAGGGAGGCAAGAACTTTAGTTTTTAAAATTGTGATTTAAAAGTCCTTATTCCCGGGGCACTTGGGTGGTTCAGTGAGTTAAGCGTCTGCCTTCAGCACCTGCTTCTCCCTTGCTCCCCTGCTGTGCTCTCTCTCTCTCTCTCTCTCTCTCATCTCTCTGTCAAATAAATAAATAAAATCTTAAAAAAAGTCTTTATTCCATAGTCACTTGTCAAACAGATTATATCATACTCTCAAGAATAAGCAGAAGAATCTTATTAGAATATATATTTTGAAATATATAAAACTTTTAGGTAAATATTTTTTTAGCCAAGAGATTTCCTGTAAAGTGGTCATAATTTATTACATTATAATGCTCTTTGAAATTATTTTTCTTTTACTATATTTGCTTTATGTGGCTGTTTCACCTAAATTTATGAACATGGTAGCAAGTGTATTTATATGGAGATAAGCACTAGCAATAAAATAGCCAGCAGTCACATGTAGCTATTTAGCATGTGAAATGTGGTTAGCCAGACTTCAGATGTGCTTTAAGTGGAAAATATACACTAGATTTTGAAGTCTTATTAAGAAAAAAAATAAATTTTCTCATTAATAATGTTTTATTGATTACATGTTGAAAATAATATTTGAATGCATTGAGTTAAATAAAATATATCATTAACCTTAATTTTACCTGTTTCTTTTTCTCATTTTTTAGTGTGCCTACAGGAAATGTGAAATCACATTTCTGACTCCGATTTGTAGCTCTCATTACATTTCTATTAGTGTGATCCAAATGATTTAGTTGTTTTCCTCCAATGTTTTATCATGACAGTTTTCAAATAGAAAATAGAAAAGCTGAAACAATTTTACAGCAAACATATATCTTCTACAACCAGCATTTTACTATACTTGTTTTTCATGTATTTAGCCATCTGTCTTTTTTTTTTTTTGTATTTTTCACAAATCCATCTGATTTTTTGGATGCATTTCACAGTAAGTTGCAGATGTCACTCTATGTTCCTCTACATACTTTAGCATATAGAAACTAGTTTTGAACTCTATTAAAGTGCATATTCCTTTAGCCATTTTCTTGCATCTTTAGATTTGTGTTGGTAAGCAGAGGCATAAACAGATTAAATGTATCAAATCGGATTTAATAAATTTTCCAAGTAAAAGGAACATTTAATCTCTGTTGACATTAAAGCACAGATCTAGATTACTCAACAAATATTTGGAGACCTTATAACATTAAATATTGACTAGAAACAAATTTCTTTCATTTTCCGAGTAAGTGCAGAATGACCAGGCTGTATTCCATGCTCATTGTGTGACCATGGATGTTCATACAACCTTTGAGTCTTTGGTGTTGATAGAAAGTTTATCTCACAAGATTATAGTGATTAAAGGAAATAATATGTGTAATCAATTTACTGGAGTTTTGGCACATTACTTTTTTTTTTAATTAAAAGAAACTTAAAAAAAAAGATTTATTTATTATTTTGGAGACAGCATGAGCCAGAGTGGGGGGAATGCAGAGGGAGAGGGAGAGAGGGAGAACCTCCCTACTAAGTGCAGAGCCTATGTGTGGCTTGATCCCATGACCTTGAGATCATGACCTAAGTAGAAATCAGACATTTAACTGACTGAGCCACCCAGGCATCCTGGCACATACTAACTTTTAAAAGTCTACTTAACTGGAAATAAATACAAAATATTTGGAGTATTTTGTTCGTCAGGTTGATCAGGAGATCCCTTGGCAGTGTAGGAATATCTCTGATAAGAAAAATGAACAGTCTTGTAGATGGTTCATCATTTATAAATATACCAGAAAGGCACGTGTTATGTAATACCCTCCAAAGAAATGGACATATGTTTCCTCCTTGTTTTACTTGTAAATATCTTATAGAAATATCCTGAGACTTCTGTCAACGTTTCCCAGATTGAGACTCTTGAACAATTTGGATTTATGCCTGTGTTGAGATTGGAGACTCAATGAGAAAATGTGTTTATGAAATTAAGTTGCAGGTGATTCACCAACAGATGATGTACTGGTTGAAAGGCCAGCAGTGCAGTGCAGGGACCTAGGAAATAGGAGGGTTAGCTGTGTTGTTCTCTGTTTTCTGTGTAGAGCTATATGGTCAACCATATTAAATATCTTTTAACATTTTTATTATATGGAACTTTTTTTTATATTATCCAAGTAACACATTCACATAGTTTTTTAAAGTTTTAACAGACAAAGCCAGACATCCCTTCCTTTCGTAGTTTCCTTGCTCTTACTACTACTTAAAGGCAACTATTTTGAACTTTTAAACTATTTTGTGGTGTTTGCTTACATATTCCTAAATACTGTCAAAGCATTGATGGTTCTTGATGCATTTGTTTTAGAGATTTTATATGTTCTTTCTCTTAAAGTAGATAGAACTTTTAATTCTTTTACATTCCCCTTATCATCCCCATATCAATCCAGTATAGTTATAACTCAATTTTTAAAATCCATAATTCAAATTATTAATATGACTAGGTAAAGCTTTTTCATTGCTAAGCTAAATGGCATGGATGTAGGCTCTTTATCTGCACTTTAAGATTTTTCCTGGAGTTAATCATTGCTTTATATTTTTCATTTATTTGGTTTCTTTGAACCAGGAGTTAAGTTTTCTACCCTTTCCAGTAGTTCTGCAAAGTTTCTCAATAGTTTTTATACAATTTAAAATCTATCAAATAATCTTTCATTTACTTTTTTAATGGGAGATTTTTCTCTTGAAACCATCCATCCCTCTCTAATATGAACCAATTGCTATCTAGGCTTGCCCTTGACTGTGGAATGCATTTCTAATATTTCTGTTTGACCTCAATTTCTTAGGACTCATGATTTTTTTCTTCTTTGCATAATCACACATTTTAGATGAGAAATTTCTCCAGTAACTTCTTGAAAAAGCATAAAAAAAGTAGTATTTTTTTTTGAGTCTTTGAATATTTGTAAAGTTTCTCTTTTTTTTTAACCTTATTTTACTTGACTGATATTTTGGTTGGCTATGGAATTTAGTATTAAGAATACTTTTCACAAAGAATCTTAAAGGCATGGTCTTTGTCTTCCAGCATTTAATTTTGTAGTTGAGAAGTCCATTCCCAGTATTTTTATGTAATTTTATTTTTAAAAAATCTGGAAGCTGTTAGGATTTTTTTTCAACTTTTTTTTTTTTGAGATTTCATAATAAAAGAGCTGGTATAAGTCCCTCTGCCCTTGTTAATTTATTGAATACTCAATTGGCTAGATAGATATTATTTTCCTCATTCTGGGAAATATTCCTCTTCATCTTTTACTTTTCAGGGAGGAAAAGTTTTCTCCTCATTTTCTTCTTTATTAATTCTTTTTGGAATAGGTATTTGTCAAATGTAGGACATCTTGGATCAATTTTCCAATATTCTTTTTCTGTTTTTCTATTTACCATTATTTTTGGCTTTTAAATTCTATTTCCTAGGAGATTTTCTTGACTTTATGTTCTAACCCATTTATTGAATATTTTGTTTGGATATTATTTTAAAATTTCAAGAACACTTTTTTCTTTTGTTTTCTGATTATTCCTATTTTTATAGAATCTTAACATTATTTCTCAGAAGTAAAATCATCTCATCTTTTGAGAGTATGAATCATGGTTCCTTCAACATATTTTTTTTTTCCTGTATCATGTTAGGATTCTCTGAAGTATATTTTATAGTTTGTTTGGTTATTGTCTTTCATGTTTCAGACTGTTCCTTAACATTCTCTGCAGATCAAGATATATTCAAAATGAAGCATTAATAGAGGGGTTGGAAGCTTTTTGTATTGGGGCATATTTTTCCATGGGACTGGTGGACCTATGTCATTTTTGTTGGGGGTTCAGTGTTTTTAGAGGAAGATCTTCTAGGCTCCTGCTTTGAAGTTGTAAGTCTAATAGCTGGCTTTTGGGGGCTGGATATATGCAGGAGCTGTTTAGCTCACAACTGAGTATGGAGATTTTTGCTAAATTCTATCCTACCCTCTCCATATCATCACCCAGAAATTAAGTCTAATACCGTATTCCAGATTTACTCCAGGTCTTGTATTCCAAGTCTGAAACAATTCAGGTTCAATTTCTCTTGGGGAAAAAAATTCATTTCCTTAGTGTACTTGAAGGGTGGTTGCTTAAAAGCAAAGAGAGGGACAAACTGAGAGTTTTATTGCTTCTTTTGGAGATTTAAAGGCCTTGACATGTCCACCTTCAAAGATACCTGGCATCTCCAATTACTGAGACTTTCAGGAGATCTGAACAACAAACCAGATTATTTTGCAACAGGATTCCTTGTTATAAGTACATGGATTTGAACTCTTTCCCTTCTGCTAAGTTATATTCAATTTCTTCATCTGCTTTCTAAGTTTATAATCTGTTATGGATGAGGTTGCAGATGTCTTCTGTTTCTTTCTTTCAGTGAAGATGGAATTTGCGCTTCTGTTTCTCGTCCTCTTTGATTATTGGAGGGTTTTGTTAAATGAAGAACTAAGAGGAGTTTTCTTTACTTAACCATCCAATTTTAAATACTTTTCTTTCTTCTTCATCTTTTTCAATTCCCTCTTAATATTGTCTATTTCTTAGTCTTTTCTCTTTACATACCTTAAATGCTACATTATTTATACCTATTTCACCTATTTGTTGACAAAATAAATATTGTCTCAATATAGGATTACTGCTTACTGCTAAATAAATGCTTTCTCTCTCTCTTTTTTTTTTTTTTTTTACAGAAAGGTGGTCTCAATTTGTCTGCTACTTTCTCCTAAACACCTTTCCCAAACCTTTAAAACCAGGAAAGGTTTCATTGCCATATATAACTTTAATACCACTACAACATTTACCATATTACATTGAAATTACTGGTTTGCTTGTCTTCCTGAAATTTTACCAAGAGTAGAGGCCACATGTCAGTCATTACTGTATCCTCAGTGCTCAGCTCAGCAACCTCAGATATAGGAGGCACTTGGGAAATATTTGTTAAATTAATGAATGTTAAAATGCATAGATAATTTTCATTAGCGTAAGATGGTAAAATATTTTAGTTCATTGGCCTTACTATTGTTATTATGTTATTATTATAGGAAAACGTGAAAACTAAACATTTTAAAGATCGTATCTCACCACTAATTATCCTGTTACTGCAATTAGTGAAAATGTGACTTCTTAAATATTTCAAAGAATGCCTTTGAATATTCTGTTACTTTTCTTTGTAGTTCTCATTGCGTTTTGTTAGCCCAAGTGTTTTAATCTTCAAAAATTTTGCTTTTTAGGTCCTAATTCTAGTGCATTTTTAGAATTTATGTATAGTGCATGCTTTTCTCCTCACTGTGAAGAGCTTCGTGAGAGAAAGGAGGCAGGAGTTAGAATATATTTTTCCATACTTAGATAAACAAAAAAACTGTGAGTGGTAAGATTTCTATGCATGGAATATTTCTGCTAAAATGAAGAATCCTTCACATTCTCATATAATTTTGATTATCTCTCCCAGATTAGTTCTTGGCTTACAAAACAAAATGCTACCCCAGGCTAAACTTTAAAGTAGGTAGTGGCTTCAAAGAGATAGAAATTTAATGGAGAAAAAAAAAAAAAGAAAAGAAAAAAGAAATAAAAACAAAACAGAGAGAGGTAAAAGACATAGCCAAAAATGTAGGATTAGCTTTTAGAAATTTTACCAGGAAAACTTTGAAAGTCAATAAAATAATACAACAGTAACACATTGGAAAGAAGCATCAGATATTCAACTACTCATGTTATGTTAATGCTTTGTGATTGTCTCAAAAAACAAAGTTAGCTTTATGTCTCTTTAACAGTATAAAGAATTTAATATTTATCTGACCTTTTAAGTTGAGATGAAAACACAATACAATACACCAAACTTAAAATAAACAACTATGGACATGGGCCAGATACAATACTTTTGTATTTTCACTGATGGAAATAGTTTTAGAGATGTCCAAAAAGATTTTTAAATGCATTTAAGCAACTGAAATACTTACTTTTGATGTTATCACCATGTGGGCAGGTTGTCTCTTGAACATGCTTGATTAAAAAATGGTTTGGCTCAGCTCTGTTTTGCTCATCAAAGGAATAAAACATTACTGGAAATTTTCAAAAATAATCTTTTTAAGTACCATGAATACAATTAGCTATGTCCTGAAATAATGTTTCCCAGGTCCCCTTTGACATACTTTTATGTATGTTCACAACAATAGTAAAATAAAAAGAAGGCTAGGATTTGTTTAGGTTTTAAGTCCAGTAAAAGGAAAGGGAATAGTATACATTTCATAAAGTTGACTCCTAATGATTATCTTATTATACATGTATATATGCTCATTAATGAACATTTACCAAGAATAAACAAAAAGAACAAAATGCTCATAGTTGCAATATACAGCCACACAACCATTCTTAGCATTTCAGCACATTTTCTTCAAACCATTCTTTTTTATACATTTATTGTTGGTGTTACATATGTAAAACCACAGTTGGTTAAAAAGAACAACTTTTAACTATGATAAATAACAAAGAGAAGAAAAATGGAGGAAGACAGCATGAACAATTGTCAGGAAAGGTAAGTAAAAAATTTTGTTCCAAGTACTTTCTAAATACTTTTTTTCTTTTTTTTTTTTTAAGATTTATTTAATTATTTTAGAGAGTGAGAGAGTGAGCGGGGGGCGGGCAAAGGGAGAGGGAGAGAGTCTCAAGCCGACTCCCTGCTGAATGCAGAGCCTGGTGCAAGGCTCCATCTCACAACCCTGAGAACATGACCCTGAGATCATGATCTGAGCTGAAATCAAGAGTCAGATGCTTAACCAGCTGAGCTATCCAGGAGCCCCATGCACTTTGCTTTCTAATGAGAGTTTGAAAACTGAATGAACTCATAGACCCAGAAGCTATGAAACAACTGGACAATAAATCCTACAGAATTTAAGTGCTGCACACTGTTATTTGGACTTATTTTCCAATAGAATAGAATAGAATAGAGAATAGAAAATAGAATAGAATAGAATAGAATAGAATAGAATAGAATAGAATAGAATGAATAGAATAGGGACGTCTGGGTAGCTCAGTGGTTGAGCATCTGCCTTTGGCTCATTTAAAAAAGATTTAAATAAAATCTTTTAAAAAATAGAATAAAATGAAATAAAATAAAATAAGCCTCATAAAATAAAATGCACATTTTTAAAAAGATTTTATTTATTCATGAGAGACACACAGAGAGAGAGAGGCAGAGACACAGGCAGAGGGAGAAGCAGGCTCCATGCAGGGAGCCCGTTGTGGGACTCGATCCTGGGTCTCCAGGATCACGCCTGGGCTGAAGGCGGCGCTAAACTGCTGAGCCACCTGGGCTGCCCTAAAATGCACATTTGTAACACCATTGACTGGTTCTATCCTATCTATAAGATACTGTGCAGATTTGTCAAAACCCATACATATTTTTTAATCCATGTTTAGTGCTACTTTGGTAGACTCTTTTTTTTTTTTTTTTAATTTTTATTTATTTATGATAGGCACACAGTGAGAGAGAGAGAGAGGCAGAGACACAGGCAGAGGGAGAAGCAGGCTCCATGCATCGAGAGCCCGACGTGGGATTCGATCCCGGGTCTCCAGGATCGCGCCCTGGGCCAAAGGCAGGCGCCAAACCGCTGCGCCACCCAGGGATCCCTACTTTGGTAGACTCTTAAAAATGTTCTTTTGGGGAAAAAATATTTTTTAAAGGTTTATTTATTTATTTGAGAGAGAGATAGAGAGTGAGCAGGGTAAGGAGAGGGGCCGAGGGAGAGGGAAAGAGGATCTTAAGCAGACTCTGCACTAAGCACAGAGCCCATTGTGAGGCTCCATCTCATGACCCTGAGATGATGACCTGAGCCAAAACCAAGAGTAGGCTGCTTAACCTACTGCATCACCCAGCTGCCCTGAAACCAATGATGTTCTTACCTGCACTAGATGGTGAAAATAATTTAACAGTTGGCCTGTACTCAAAAAGATAGTATAATACTTTTGGGAAGATAAATCAATACTCACAAATGTGAAAGGTGAACATGAAAATATTAGAGAAATTTCAAGAAGCCAGTGGGGCATGAAACTATGAGAGAGAATGCATGGAGAAAGAAGGATATGATACGGACTTTAAAGCTGGGTAGAATTTAAGTTTTTTAGCTTAGTGAATTAAAGAAGTAGAGATGTTACAGATGGGAACATTAGGAGGAGCAGAAGTTGAGAGAAGATACTGGCTATGACATGTCTGGAAAATAGTATGAAATTGGAAGACTAACAGAAAATGGTATCCTGAACTCTCAGTTTAGGTATAGAACTACAAGATAGCAGTCATGGAATAATGACGTCAATAAGTAGTTATAACTGTGATGAAATGTACAAATATAAAGTTTTATAGGAGTGCAATTGGCACGTTAAGCACATTGGGAAAATGAGTATAGAGACAGCATACCTTTATGCCATTTCTCATGACCCCTTTAAAATTTGGTGTGAGGTGATCTGCTGCTGCTATGAAAACTCTAGTAGTGTCATTTTTCTCTTATGGTGGCTTTAAGTTGCAAGTACTTTCTAAATCAGAAATGACAGTGCTTGTCCTTCGTAATAGTCAAAATGTCCAAGTCCATTCAATGTACAAGCTATCCCCTTCTTCTGTTTAGGCTTCTACAGGGGGAGAGGTGTAGTTGCCTTTTTCTCTGTCATTCATCTCCTTACCCTTTTGCTAGTTGCTCTTTCTGACTCTTCTGCGGGGGAAGGATGGAGGCATAAGGCAGCAGGGGAAGGAAGGGGAAAATAAAATTTTTTATTTGACTAAGATTATCCTAAAGTGACTTGTCTTTGGGCCTGCTTGGTCCATCTCTAAGGCACATCTCTAACTCTTTTGAGGGTGCTCTGTGTGTCCTTACTAGGGTTTCTTACCTATATTCTCTTGCAGGTTGTATGTAGAATCTTGGGATACTTTAGCTTATCTCCACTAAGAACCTCTTCCCAGCCCCCTACTCCTAAACCCCTCCTCAAGATGACTCTGTTAGGCAGGATCTAAATCAACTCCACATCTGCTTTCTGTTATGCATAACCCACAACTGGATTTGAGGACCCTTACACAGCCTTTACCTTTATGGATTCTAAGAGTGTGGGCTGATTTCAAGGCAGCTCTCTCTCCTTCAGCTCATCTCTTAATAGGGGGACCATCTCTCATCCTTCTTCAATTTTTTGGACAGCATGCCAGATGCCAGTTTCTTATGCTTCCCTAACTGGAGGTGACAAGTGGTGAGCCCTTTTAAAGGTTTCTTTGAAGTCCCTTTCAGTAGGCTTGAGGTGCAGATGGAGAGTCCTTCTCTGCTGGTGGACATTGAGCTCACAACCCAGCTATTCTCAGGAAATAATCCTTAAAAATTCTTTCTTTCTATATGAATAGGAGGTTGAAGAGTCATTAAACTGATTTGGATATTTTTCTCTGAAAGTTTCTGTCTTGGTTTGACACCTCACTTTGGAATCTTTTTAGGGATTTGGCTAAAACTCTCATTTTACATCCTTTCCTGGAAGAATTTAAGGGGCCTAACATAGTTCATGAGGTCAGGAAGAATTTTCCTGTGGGAATGAACAGAGAAATTTCATGGAATTCAAGCAAAGAGCATTTAAAGAGTGGAAGATTGCTCCATAGTAGTAAAGGTATCTGGGAACCCAAGTAAAAGAAGGACTGAGAAGAACCCATTTTCTTGGGTAGCAAAAAGGTTATTGGTGATCTTGGCAAGAATAGTTCCTGCCAAAAGTTAAATTCTCTGAGGCTGAAGAAAGAGGGGGATGTAAGGGAATGGAGACCCCAAGTGTAAGGAAAAGGAGACCACAAATTTCAGAGCTTCTGAAACTTTGAAGTGAAGAAGAAGAAAGTTGGGAATTCTTTTCAGACTCCTGAGTGCTGGGAGAGGGGTAGGTAGATAAACAATGGTTGAGCAGTGATCAATGGAAATGGAGAGGTAGGTGGTTCAGGAAGGCTGGAGGGGATGAATCTAGAGTTGAGGTAATGGTTAACCTTGGGCAGGAGAAATGCCTCCTGCGAGTTTGCCAGAAGGAAAGAATTAGTGTGGATGTGAAGCAAATGTGAAGATTTGGTGTTTGAAAGGCAAGGAATTTATGGCCTGATGGCTTCTACTTTCTCTGCTTAATCACAAAGTCCTGGAATGATTTTTCTTCGAATTGGGAAAAATAAAGTGAACCTAAATAGCAGAAGGCCTTTAACTAGCTTATATCTGGATTTGACGTGATAACTGGCTATATCTGGATTTGACGTATAGGAGAGACAAGATTCAAAGGAAAATTATGAAACATTTAAATATAAATATGGGATTGTGTTAACCATTTTAATGAGCATTTGCACAAGAACCTGTGCTAAGCACTTTACGTACATCCAATTCCCCATCTCCACTCACCTAGATTAGAGCTGTTTTTTTTTAATAAATTTATTTTTTATTGGTGTTCAATTTGTCAACATACAGAATAACACCCAGTGCTCATCCTGTCAAGTGCCCACCTCATTCCCCACCACCCAGTCACTCCCCCCTCCCCCCATAGACCTGGTTTCCCATCTACTTTTGCTCCAAAAAAAGGCATTCTCTGTTCAGCAGCCAAAGTAGATTTTTAAAAAACACAAACTGGGATATGTCCCCATTTAAGCCCTGGCATAGCTTCCAAGTGCCTGTAGGTAAAGTCCTTCATGTTGTGGACCCTATGTGTTCCTTCAACCTCACCTTTTCTTTGGTTGTGTATTACATTATTCTTGGAATTATTGTAAATAAGTCTGTTTTTATTTCACATAAGTATTCTGTTAGTTTTTACAGGGATATACAAAACCTATTGAGTTTTATTCCAGACAAGTTATTGTCTGATGATACTTCAAAATATTATTTAGGCTAAGTCTTTTGCAACATGCACATAGAATGAATGCACTAAGACAATCAAACTTTTCCCCAAACCCCAAAACTCCTTTATCATATAGCTTGAAATCTTATTTTGGTTTTAGCAAGAAAAAGAAAGCTCTTAAGTGTTATATTCTCACTTCTATCTAGTGATGGCAGCAGCCAATGCATGGGAATAAGAATTCTGG